AGATCAACATGTTATATTTCCTGGTTTGTTGCATTTGAGTGACATAAAGGCCAGAAATTCATTCAACTTCCTCTTATAAATTTGCAAGTTGTACAGCTATGGAAGCCCGTTTTCACCACACACAAAAAAGTATCCATGTCTTGAAATTTCGAGATATTTTTCTCAAAAGTTTGAATAGTAACTCAAAATTTTGAGAAAATAACTCGACAGTTCGAGTTATGGATACTTTTTTTTGCGTGGCAGAAACGGGCTTCCATAGCCAGCACAGTGCATATGTTTGTTGCAGGTCAGAAATGAAACCTTTTCTGATGCTGAGAAAATAAAGCGTGACTCAGTGGTGCAGATATTTGGCAGTTTTTATTTTAGACTTTGTTCTGGTTATTGTTCAGTTTCGCCTGCAGTGTAAGTGTAATTCAGGCAGACAAACACAGGTGGATTCACTTGTACAAAAGACAAACTGAAATGGATTCTAACCAGAGCATTCTGACCAGTCTACCTGGTGATAGGTTTACCGCAACTGATGACTTGTTCAATTAAGGTAAATACAACCACGTCACTTATGAAGAAGACACACAGCTTATCATGGTATAGTTTTAAAACATCTAAAATCACTCTTTTTGTTAATTCATTTGCTAGATTAGCTGCTAGCATACCCACTTTGTTTGAGGCTTTTTGCTAGCTAGTTAGCAACACTACACACCTGTTACTCTAGTAGTCTGTATTTTTTAATGACTCAGCACTCCTTAGCTTTTGTTATCCATATTTATAAAGAGATGGCATTAGCTGTACACTCCAGAGGCCCAGAGTTACTGTTAATATTAGAAATGTAATGCTGTCCTTTATGATTTTAAGTTTAGGCTGAGGATGATCTAAAACTGAAGATTTTAACACTTTTAGATCCATTACAGTTATAGAGCACTTTGCAGCCTGCTAACATGGAAACTACATAAAAATAGCAGGTGGTTTCATAAAAGTGTAATTTATTCTTTTCATTTAATTTAATAATAGAGTCTACATTATTAACAGCTAAACTCACCCTGCCAGAAAAATGGTGAGGAAAACCATCAGGACCAAGCTGGGTTTCCTGGGGCCAGAGATTTGAACAAACTTTCTCCCTTACTTTCATAACAGCTGTCCTGTGCCAGATGTTATATTGAGCCATTGAGAGGCATCAACTACAATAAAGTTTAGCCGACGTATTGATGTAATTAATAACAGGAGTCCAAGTAGGAAGTGATGGAAATGACAACAAAGCAAGGTCAAAAAGTCTTTATTCAACCACGAGTCTCTGCTCAGCCATGGTTGTAACCATGGTTACCCATCAATCCCATCATGATGCTGCATATTGTCAGGGAGACAGTGGGGTAGGGTTTCTACAAATAAGACTTAATTACTCAAAACATCTGTGAATGATGTCTGAACTACATTTAATTTACATTTTTCTCTTTACAGAAAGAATTTAAACACTGTGCGCGTGGGCTAAACGTCGAGGACGTAGGTCTTGTAGAGGCGGTTCATCTGCTCCAGGAAGATGAAGGTGAGGACGGTGTGCGGGCCGAGGCGGGCATAGTACGGGGTGAAACCTTTCCACAGAGAGAAGAAGCCCTCCTTCCCCACCACTCGAACCAGCACCTCCTGATCATGACACAGATAATTCAGTCGGTGCCCAGAATATAAACACTTATTACCGGAACAAGTCTATTAATACAGGCTGAACATTGGTTCAGCCTGTATTAATATAACTTAATATAACTTGTATATCAGTCCTCTCACTGGCCACTTCATTAGGAACACCTGTTAAACTTCTTTGACTTGTGTTTTATCAGCCAATCACATGGCAGTGACTCAGTGCATTTAGACATGATGCCCGTGCCCATCCTGTCATGACCACATTTCCTGATATCTGCAGGATAACACATGCCAAAGCTCCATTCATCTCTAACATAAGAAAATAAGTTCACTGTACTCAAATGACCTGACTCCAATGGAGCATCTTCCTCATCAAGGAGCAACTGACAAACCTGCAGCAGCTGGGTGATGATATGATGTTAATATGGAGCAAAATCCTTGTTAAACTTATTAAGATTTAAAGAGTTCTGAAGATAAAACTTGTTACTAGCGATGTGTACCTAATAAAGAGGCCTGTCAATGTGCATTGGAGATTGTCAGAAAATGATTCTCTAAATCTAAATGTTACACAAAGAACATCAAAGATACAGAAGTAACCTGTACAAATACTTCAAAATCACAGTATTACCAGGAACAATATTGCATTTATTCATCAGCTCATCTGCTTTCAGAGCATTATTTAACTTTCATGCTAAAAAAAGATTTTAATGACCAAAATGTAAAAACAAAAACAAGTAAAAACAAATAAAATTGGCGACTCACCAAACCATTTTTATACTCTGGCTTCCCGTCGATCATCTTCATGTTCTGGATCCTGCCAAGACAAAGGAGAAGGTGGTCAGACTCGGCTCGACCACAGAAGAAGAGTACATCAAACGCCTTCAGTCTCACCTGGTCTTTACGATGTCGACGGGCATCGAGGCTGCCGTGGTAACCAGACCACTGATCATACTGGCACAGAAGTGACACAGAATATCGTCTCTAAAATAACCTGAAAACACACAAACATAGTCATGAAGAGTGTGCGTCACTGCAAGACTCTGTGCGTCACTGCAAGACTGTGTGCTTGCGCGTGTGCGTGCGTTGGGCACCTGAGTCAAGCAGCGCCTGTTTGGACTGAGAGTACGAGGCCAGCTGAGCAGCGTTCACGACCACCGCTCGAGCCATGGTGGGAATGCAACCCTGCAACAACAGAGTCGTCATCAGCTCAGTTATTAAAAACACCCAAAGAGACTCGAGAAACCTGCTGAACCAACAAGACGTGAACGCTCCACAGACGACGTCTGGAGTCTTTTCTGTGGGAAATGAACCAGCGAGGGTAGAGGTGGAGGGATGTCAGCGACCCTCAGAGCATGCTGTAGCTCCGATTTACAGTTCAGCTTTTTATCGTCTTTGACTCAGCAGAATAGCTGAGATCAGTCCCAGTTTAGGTTTCAGCACTTAAATCCTCATTTTATTACTAACGCTCATCAGGAAATTTGATTTAAAAAAAAAATCAATTAAATTTTGTTATTGATATTACAGAGAATGAAAGGACAAGTGTCAAATTTTGTTAATCATATAGTGAATTTCATGGATGAAGCTTTTAGATTCCTGGAAGCAGAATCTTTTTAAGTGAAAAGTTTAAAATGTTACTACCAAGTGTTTATAACTGAACAAAAACTGAGGCACTGTAATGACTCAGTATTCAGTTTATCTGACCTGTTTGCACCATCTTTGGTGGGAAAACTGTTGCAAAAATAAAATAACTAATAATCAGAAAAAAAGAAAGAAGATGCAGAGATCAGAAAAGAAGAAGATCCCTGTCCTTCCCGTCTTGGAGCAACTGTGACCACGTAATTTCCTCTGGGAATAATAAAGTATTCGGATTCTGATACATTGAAAAAGACTGCGACACTGCCCTCTGCTGCCCTATGGAAGTAATGCAGATGGTCAGTAAAATCCTTTGCAAATTAAAAAAAAAAATTCAATTAATATGTTTAATAAAAATAAAAAGATCATTTAAATGTTTTAATTCAGTTTAAAATTATTTAAAATATTGTAGACACATTTTTAACAAGGGCTGTAAAAACTAACAAAACAAAGCCACTAAATTCATGAGCGTTTATTCAATCGTTACCCGAGGAGCTAAAATTATTCTAAAAAGCAGCAAATACTGCACCACAGTCAACGATTAGATTAGAGATTTGTGTTTGATAAAGAGAGACCCAGATTTAAAACATGTGACATTCTTCAGTTTGGAAATTCTTTAGAAGACAAACTGAGAATTTTGGGAATATAAACGTTTTGGAAACATGAGGATAAGCAGAGAAAAAGCCAAATTCTAAAATATCAGAATCAAAGCTGAGGTCATTTTTCTTGTTTTTGCTCAGGATTCGCACCAGTGAACTTCAATAAAAGTTGCAGTCGTAGCTCACAGTTCCCATTAACTGCTTTCACACATATTAATAACAGTACAACGGCTTGAAAAACGAAATAGTTAAACAAATAAGAAAAATAAAAGAACTAATGTCATGTTTATGTGATGTTAAATCGGGCAGCATCTACTCTGGGTGAAGGACCACTTCAGGACACAAACCGTTTTATCAATTAAACTTTCCACATTAAATTACTGCATCTGGACTAATGGCAACTCATTCAGGCCGAAGTGAAGAAAATGATGATGATGGTAGCCTCACCCTCCACAGCGTAGTGACGCCTTCCTCTTTGGTTATTCGAAAGAGGGCATTAAAAACATTCTTGTATCCTCTCCGCTGGTCTACAGGTAACCTGGAGACACAAACGGTGAGGAAAACGCCTGCGAGTCATTTTGTGTCCATGCCGAGCAGAGAAAGCTGCTCGAAG